AACTTTCCGCGCATGCGTATGTCCCAGAACCTGTGAAATCTCGCATAATTTTGTAATTATGCGAGTCTTCACCACGACTTCAGGGGAGACTTCAGAGGATTTGTTTTATTTTTTTACAATCGATTTTGGGACATTTTAAATCGATTTTGAATCGTAGTAAATGAGAATCAAGATTCTTATGTGAATCAATTTTTTTGGCACTTTTAAATCGGTATGTAGGTATTCAGAAAAATCATATCATAACATAAATAAAAACAATTTTTGGTACTAATTGGTTTATGGCCCAGCAGTAGTCAGTAGACTAGTTAAAAGTAGCAAAATGCAAACCAAAAGTAACAAAATTCTATCTAAAAAGAGCAAAATACTAGTCAAAAGCTAAAACGAGCAGAGCACTAGCTAAAAACTAAAAGGAGCAAAATGTTAGCTAAATGCTAGAAGAAGCAAAACGCTACTCAAAAGCTAAAATGTGTAAGTATAAATATTTTAGAATAACCAAAAGTCATAGCACCTTTCTGCTGAATGAGATGAATGTTGTGAATTGTGAAAATATCAAAGTATGCAGAGAAAGTAAAAATAATAATAATAATAATAATAATAATAATAATAATAATAATAATAATAATAATTTGCATGGATAGTTTTATACTGAACATAAACTCGCTTGATTTAAATTATGTTCATTAAGCTGGTAACATTATCCAGACAATTAGCTGTACTTTAAACAAACACATTAACACACACGGGCGTTGTGTAAAGATGTGGTCCCCCACAGAGTTTTAGTCCACAAATATAGCAGATTTCCTGCGTCAGTGAACAAAAAACAGGATAAAAGAGTTCTCCATCTTTTCTTTCAGAACTTTAACTTTTGCAAAGCCAACCTGAGCTCTTCTGACATATGTAGTTGCACATACTAGTGACATGGAGAAAAACTAATGCTATTTCAGTTGAAGGGTTTAGTAGAAAGACAAATTAACAAAAAAGATGTCAGCGTATTATAATCATTGACATGGACCATGCCAGATATTTGTGGTGTGCGTGTTCTCTGCATCACCTTCAATTCCTGAATAGAAAAAATGTCACCATCAGCTTCAATAGTATCCCTCAGTTTGTGTAACTGTTTGATCACAGCAGGTGTAAGTAAAAAAATCACACAAAGCTTGTGGTTTTTGTTTGGTCCTGGTGCATTGTTTCTCTCCTGCGCTTCGCCTCTGTGTTGTGTGGACGGCGTCTTTGTTGACAAGATCCAAAAGGACAAGATTGTCTGCAAACATTACACACCCATAACATGTTTGTCAGTCTACAGCCGGGCCAAACCCTAAATGTTTCATGTTATTCTCATAAACGGGCAGACACTGGTTTGTTTCATTGATAATGCTGAGAGAATGTGAGAGTTTTTTTTGTCCCTTGTGGTAGTTTTTCAAGAGTTATTTCCGCTTCTACGACTTCGGACAGTTTTACAGCTTTAGCTGACCATTGCAGTCAAAATGTCATGTTTTGTTTCTTGTCTGTTTTGTCTTTTTATTGCTTGAGCATGGTCCACCAAAGGCCTCAGCCAGCCTGTTTTGGAGCTTAGGGTCTGTATCCGGCTAAACGCTCTGTGTTTTGTCAGCAACTCTCAGTGGAGCTGACAGTGCTCGTCTTGTTCACCCAATCATCATCTGGCGTCATGACTGTGGGGAGCCACATGTCTGCCTCTGTATGTGTGTGCTGTATAGGCTGCAGCAAACCAGGTTGAATGAACGAGTGAAACACATGGACAGATTGTGTGTGTCTGTGTGTGTGTGTGTGGGGGGGGGGGGGTGTGTGTGTGTGTGTGTGGGGGGGGGGGAGTGCAAGTTGTGTGCTGTTGGTTGTCTCCTGACCTGGCATGCAGGGTAATTGGATAGATCTACTTTCATCAATTTAGGCAGAGGAAATGGATTGGTAACCGGAAGGTCACTCATTCATATTTATGGACTGTCAGTAAAAAAAAAAATGAGGCAGGATGAGAATGTGGGCTGATAACTTCAGCTAAAAGGGCTGCTCAGGAAACTGTGAGGCTAATCATACCGGGAGAGACCTGTAGGTTCACCACAGCTTGTCTTATGCTGAGTTACATTAGTAAGTTTGTGCGCTTTAATAAAAAGCACTCTGAAATCTTGTAGTAATTATTTGAAGGGGGATGCATGTTATATCAGAAATGCTGAACTCGTTCATTTTACCTCCCTTTCAAAATAAACCTCCATGGCAGAAGGATGCTGGGACGATCAGAGCTGTGGGTGATCGGTGTTCTGTCAAAAAAATAAAATAAATTAAAAAATCACAAAGTTAGGAAACAACATGGAGATGCCAAAATACAGTATATATAAAACATGATTGTGAGGCTTGAGTTAATGTTCGATTTCTCCATGTTAACTGGATTCTGAATTTTCGAAAATCATGAAGTCTGACAAAGCTTCATTTCCCCTTAATGTCAAAATTTCAATTTGTTGTATCTGCAGTGATTTTTTATTTTTTTTATTTTTACTACTGACATTTAGTTCAGAGATTGACCAATTTTAATGGGCTGATATTGGCCACATTTAAAAACTACAATCAGCTATGACTGTTTATTTTAACAAATAGGAATTTGAAGATGCAGCTAAGTTGCTACAAGCTTAGTGTAGACTGTAATTTAGTGTTTTTCAGCAAGAATGCTCTTCTAGATTATAAGTGCATAAATGTTAAGGGTTATTAAATATGTTTATTTTGAGCAAGCAATTATTGTTATGGTTTGTTAAATAAAAATAAATATTGTAGGAGGGTGAGCTTAAGGTGGCATTAAGCTTTTCCCACATCTCTCATACACAAGGTTATGAGGAAAATTTTAGCAAGGTATTTCTAATTACTTGTTAATATCTTGACTGTGCAAAGTGAAAAGTGACACAAGTGAACGTTCAGACGAGTTCAAGTTGATTCATAAAAGACTATGCAATCATTTATTTACACAAATTGAACAGATCATAAGTACCCTTGATTGTGGGTATTCCTATAAAAAGTGTCCCAAGTTAAATGAGATAAAACCCGCATCCGAATGTCAATTCACATCAACTTAGATTACTTATATAGAACAGTAAAACGTCAGTTCTGATGTTAACAACCAAACAATTTTACTGCCACTTTCAGCTTAAGTTTTGGCAAATTAAGAACAAGGAAAGGAGGAAAGTAAGATTAGTATTTTACTACTTTTACTTTGTCAAAGTGTGGGTCAACCGGATCTGCACGTCTTTTCTGCGCTTAGGGTCCACATGACACGTCACTCCGAACACATCAGCTTTACCTGGTGATGACTTCTTAAGACACCCTCGGGGTAGGAGCTGGCTCGCCTCCGATCAGTCAGGGAACTGATGTCGGCTCGCATACCGGTCATTGGCGAACAGGTGTTTACCAGGTAACTTTCGTCTGTTTCAGTCCAAGCCAGAAAAATTCAAGCTGTTATCCGGTCCCTTCTTWTCAAAATAAAATCTCCCCACGGGAGGTGAAAACACACTTTAGAGGCTTGAAGCCTCAGAGGTGGGTCCGGCTGGCGTGCCGGGTCCGGGGCTGTTAAGTCTTCCCTAGTTAGCTAATGGGCTGAGACTTAAAAACCACCTGGGTCCCCTCTGGAGAGAGCCCCAGCTTTCTTCCTCGGTTGGAGTCAGGAAGAAGAGTGTGTGTTGCTCAAAGCCGTCCGGGTTAGTAAAAGAAACGGACGAACTTTGGTTCCGCCCTCAGACTTAGAGATGAGTCAGAGAAAGAAAGATAAAGATTTGCCAGCCGGCGCCAGCCCAAGGTTAAAATTCTGTGGTTGTTCAACAACATGATATGATAACCTCTTTTCAGCTTTCTTCTGATAGACTCTAAGAGAAATCACTGCAAAACATTTATGATGATTAATTAACATTTCTGTCTTATAATCAGTTCTGAACCTTCTGTTAGTCCAGATAAATGAAAGATTTTCTCAGGAAAAATCCACAATTATATTACTGCGTTCACAGTAAAATAAAAACAGTGATTTACATAAAAAACACAATGAAAACATTGTAATGATTCTCTGCGATTTTTTATACCATTATTAATCTTTAAGGCACGATAAAAGAAAAGAAGTGGTTGCACTTTTCCTGTGACAGTCATTATCATGATTTAACAAAGCATAAACATTCTTAGTTAAACAACAAATGAATCACGAACAGAAGAGATTGTTCTGTCCATTATCTGATTAAGAGAACTGAGGGGTTCTTAGAATGACCTGTCATGGCATAAATAGAGTTCAGTTTGTGACAGAGTTCCTGTCCTCTCGTCAGGCCTGTCCGAGGCCTGCTTCGAGGCAGTAAATCTTGTTTCTTCACTCGAGGTGACCCCAACATTTTGATCAAAAATAAAAAAATCTGTTTTCTAAATTTATTTCGGGCGACCTCTTTTTGTAACTCAATAAATTTGTTGTGCACATTGTACTGAATTATCTCTATTAGAAAACGTGTTGCAGCTGTGTCTGAATGCAGAGAAATATATATTTTTAGCTGCTAGTACTGCTAATAATAGCCTGGACATTAAGCACATCAGTTAGCTTATTCCACTGATTTTCTGCCTTGCATCTGTAACATGACATCATTCCCACACCTAGCTTCCAGTGGAAAGCAGCTTTAAAACACATCTAGCTCCTTCTGCCATTATTTGTATTTGAAAATACCTCATGCACTTTCTGTACATGCACGGGTTTTCTTCGGGTACTCTGTTTTCCTCCCACAGACCAAAAACCTGCAAATAAACTCTAAATTATCCCTAGGTGTGAGTGAGGGTGTGAATCAGACATAGGATTTGGAAGAGGCCTGGTGGTCTGTTCAGTAGTTCAAACCTGCGTTTTAGCTAGTCGTGTCTCTGCCAGCCTATTTCACCTTCTCTGTGTTCACAACAACAAATACTATAACTGTAAAACCTCTAGCTGCCTCCTGTATCCAAGTCTGGTGCAATTCATCCTTTATGTCTTTATCAACATCTTTAAGGTCTTCTCCTGGCTTCACAAACTTGTGGTCCATGCTTGGTGTGCACTCCCAGTGTGGGAAACAGTGACATTCAGCAGCACATCTGTGAAGACCCAAACCCTGCCACAACCCTTTTTTCTGATTGGCTAGTGATTGACAGAAAGCTGCATCCAGAGAAATATCTGTAAATCACTAAGTAGACCCCATTACTTTTTGCAGGTAAGAGATCCGGCCGAGCGCCCTGAGTGACAGAAATGATGGGTTGTTGTAAAACTGAAGAGGGTGTCAGATTAATACCCCGACAACCCCTCTAGCAGATAGCTTGGTGTGAATGGTTGTTTGTCTTCTTTGTTTCTATAGCCCCCTCTCTACAGGCATGTCTTTAAATTATAGCTTGCTGATATACATTTGTTGTCATAGTACATATGATGTTAAAATAAAATAAAGTGATAATTTTACTGATGTGTATAAAGACTGCAATAGCTGAAAAATCCCAAAGTCCATATGAAATTAGAGGTAGCTTGAGGATTTTTTTTATGCTTTTTAAGCTCAAGAAACGGGGGGTTGTATTATACATGAGATTGAATTATACACAAATAAATACGGTAGCTAAACATGGATGCTACTTGTGAGCACGTCAAGTTGTTGTTCAGAGCCCATTAAATAATTATCTGACATGGTTGTTTAGTTCAATGTTTATATTTAAACCTTCCTATGACCGGTTACTCCAGTGCAGCATTTTATTTTTGGAATGTAGCGACGTGCTGGTAGTAAAGTATCGACTGAGTAACTTTAGGATCGATACGATCTGCGACCGACATTGGACGTTACTATTAGGGATGGGTACCTTTGGCATTTGAATCAATTCGGTACCAATATCTGGTACCTGGGAATCGGTACTGGTACTTTACAGTACCAATTTTCGGTACTTTGTGTGTGTTGTTTTTTTTAATGATAATATTTAAAATTAACAAATATCAATACAACATCCAACTCTTTGTATTGTAACATCAGTTGTGTAACTTTTTCTTTAAAGTGAAAACTCTTGAAAACAACAAGACTGTTTTGTTTTATTACACAAATTAAAATCCAGCTCCACGTATTTCTATTGATGTCATTTCCCCACTAGAAAAATTGTGTGATGGAGGTCCATGGAAGGTAAATAAGTTTAAATCAAATAAGCAAAACAGGATGGAGTTAAAATAAATAAAATGTATTCAAGCAACGTTTTGAACATCCAAAACGCGCCTAACACTTCAAGTTGGCTGCTTGTGCTCTTCAGGTCAGATGTGTTCGGACTGTCAGCAAGAGCCTCTGTTGTTTTCCTCTGATGGTCTCTGTTTAATGGTGGATGAAATAAAGAAAGTGGCGGTACTTTATTTACTTTGAGCAAACAAACGTCGTGCTCACAAGATAATTAATCCACCAGATAATTCAGAGGCGGTCTGTTCGGTGAGTTTTACTTCAGGAGCTGCGAGGCTTTCAAGCTACGTTCAGACCAAACTCTGTTTACTGAACCAGCAGCTGCTGACGTCATTACGCTCTTGCGTGATGCTGCGTTCAGGACAAGCATGGAAAACTCGCCACTCTTACGCCAATACAGTCCCAATGATGCATTTAGGTACCGAAACATGATACCGTTTGATGTTACGTGAATAGCTTCTTGGTAGTACAGACAGAATTTGGTCTGTACTTAAAAAAGTATCGAATTCGGTACCCATCCCTAGTTACTATCATATTTTCCTACTGAGTCTCAGTCTTCCAGGACATGGAAAATTAAAAGAAAAATTATGAAACATTTGGACTTCCTTTCTGTAGCTGATGACGTGGAGCTACAGATTTAAACAGCATGACTTGAGATTAGTGTGTTTGTCAACCTTTCACCACCATTTCACTGATGAAAAAGTCAGATGTAACGCGACATGAGCATTCAGACTGCAGTTGCTTTGAAAAACATCAGATATGTATCAGATTCAGTACCACATATTGATAGGACCTGGATTTGTTACAGTCAGACGCGTAAAAAAATCAGATATGGGTTGCATGGGGCAAGAAAATTTGGATTTGGGTTGCATTGTCTGCAATGTGAACGTAGCCATTGATTCACGCATGGACAAATATATCTTCATTTCCAGTTCACGTGCAGTTTTAAGATCCACCCTAGTGGTGGTTCCAGGTGGGTGACACTGAGCGTTGTACGCAAGCAGTTAGGGGTGTAACGATACATCGATCTATATCCATATATCTATTTGAATGGTTCACGATTCAGTTATATCGAGACAAAATGTAAATATCGATCTATATCGTCATCATATTCTTGATGAGAATCAATATCATATGCCCATGTAACAGTCATTGTGTTAGATGGGCATATGATATTGCATTATATTGATCGCAGTCTTGTCAATTGAACTGAATCGAAATCGTATCGTGACAGACTTCATGATATCGATAAATATCGAATCGTCATCTAAACATATCGATGCAATATCGTATCGTGATAAAGCTGTTGATTTATACCCCTACAAGCAACATTGACGTCAGCAGACTGCTGCCTGTGGATTGACTGAACCAAGGTGGAACTTGCAAACTCTTCCTGGAGAGAGGCCCATATCTTTTTCTATATTTTAGATAGATGAGTGCATACAGGTTGAGCTCAATGGAGCTGTTTGAAATGAACAGGTACACAGGGAGGTTTCAGACAAACTGGCCGCCCAAGCTTACATGTGCACTTACTGTATTAACACCGCTGTAACTAATATGTAGAAAAAAATAATCTGACCACCGAACAGTGGACGAATCTTCCCCACTGACGATCCACCCACAATCACACCGTTGGAGTTGGAAACCCCACCATGGAAACACACCTACACTTGAGTAAATTTGAACAAACGTGACGCGACTAGAGTGAGACTTGACATGGAGAAGACGACTCTGTTTACTCTCATTCGAAATGCATAAAAGTTTATTTTACAAAAAAAACATTTGAATATTTCTTTTTTTGAAACAATGTCTCACAGCCAAAAGTCTTCAACATTTTAATAAATCATTGAATGTTTTGTTGAGCGGGAAACACCTTTTGCTTTGTTTGTGTTCAAACTTGTCAAATTTCATTTCATTCTTGAATATTTATTTAATGATTTACTCTCATTTTAATAATCCACAATATAATGAGATGCTAAGTAGATGAAAATTTGAGGTTACATCACAAATTATGAAATTTAAAATAAGAAAAATAAACTCAAAATATGGAATTAGGAAGGAAAAAACTAATTTAACAGAATCATTTCATATCAAAATTTGACGTTTAGAGGTAAATCAGGTGGTTGAACAGCTGATATTACTTGAAAATTGCTAAATCAAAAGTTATTTTTATTTCTTTCTTTTTCTTCCAACAGTTTTCAGTAGAGCTTAGCTTAACAAACCTTTAAATTCAGACCAGCTCTAAAATACTGAATGGGGAGCGTTTTGATAGTATTTGTGTAGCACAACTGTTAGGACAGCATCATTATTGTGAGTACAGACGGCCACTTACAGACTCACAAATATCACAAAGATATGGCATTGTTAATTCTTTTCACTGACACTGCTATCATTTAGAAATCCTTTATGCTGTGGTTATAAAACCAAATCAGTCAAAAGGGGTAAAATGAATGGCATGCATTACTAAAGCCTGTAAAGTTGCAGTTTGAATGATAGTATTGTGGAGAAAAAGAAGAAGTGAAAGTTTGCTTAGCAAACACAAAGTAATTCTGGGTAACATCTGGGTAGATGGTAGCGATGTGGGATATTAATAGATAACACACTACATTTCACCTCACCTTTCATATGATTTTACTCACTTTCTAATTATCTCTGCTTCCTCCTTTTCTCCTGGATAGTCACTTTTTCTCAGCCCCTCTCTTTCTGTCTCTCAATACAAACCCCCTCCTCACTGCATTGTCATGACAGATAAGACACGAGAGGATTTGTTGTCTCACTCTTCTCCCTGCAGATCATCTGTCTTCTGATTAACTGTCATTTTAAACCACTAAGTCGTTTTAATCTCAGAGGGAGACATTCTCTGCAGAATGTGTTTATTCTGTATGTATGAGAAAGAAAGAGAGAGAGAGACTCTTGTATTTGCACTACTAAACACGCTCACACCCACATGCTCATATGACGATCATCACAGTTGTTACAAAGATTGTATCAAAAGCTCAATTGATAAACGGCAGAGGAGGAGGGGGAGGTCATGATGACTTGAACCGATTACCACACATGCGTGCGCACACACTAAAATATCTGTTAAAAACAAAAGATGGAATGAATATTACGTTTTGCAAATGTAGCTTTTAACTCCCTCCACCAAATACAAGAGCAAAGTATTAATGATTTTGCTTGTATGTGTGTCTGTATGTGGGCACGTTTTTGCTACATCATGGGAAACATTTTCCAGAAAAAGGCAGCCTCATGAGGACCGACGGGTACAGATGCTAATTTGAGGTTAGGTTTAGAACCAAGGTGTGAATTGAGTTTAGGTTAGTTTTAGGATCAGGTTTGTACCTGTGAGGTTAATTTTAGGGTAAATGGTCAGGGTTAGGCTATAAAATTACCAAAAAATGAATGGAAGGTAATCCACAGACCTACGGTGATATAAAAACAAACCTGTGTGTTTGTGTGGACACATTTTTGCTACATGATGGGGACCATTTTCCAGAAAAACACAGCCTTGGGAGTCCCCACAAGGCTGCGTTTTTCTGGAAAATGGTCCTCGTCATTTCCCAAAAATGTGTCCATACAAACACAAATGCAAGTTTGTATTTCTATCCTTATTGGAATTATGTATTGACTTCTACTTATTTATACAGTATAACTCTGACTCTTACCCTGAACATAACCATCCCAAGTACATACCCAACCCTAACTCATAAATGGAGTTTCACTGCATTAGGACCAGGTGTTGGTCCCTAAAAGGACTACTGGTCTGCTGTTTAAAAGGTCCTAAAATGTAACAATAAACAGGCACACACACACACACACATGCTGGTACAAAAAAGACAGAATGAACATACTTTTTGTTAGTGCTGGGTGGTATACTGTTTTGTACCGAAAACTGGTTTTTATTTTTGTTATGATATGACTTTTCTGATTACCA